CTGCGAGCTCGGCTCTTTCGGGGAGAGCCAGGTACTGAGTCTGCTGGAACCTCCTGTTCAAAGCCTGTAGCTGCAAACTGGAGTAAATAGTCCTGGGTTTGCGGATTTTTTTCCCTTTCCCATTAAAGCGAACTTCCCCTCCTTCTACCACAGTGCTTTTCTCCGATTCGGCCCCTACAAACAACAAACGACGCAGAATAAATAATAATAATAGCAGCAACAGCAATAATAGCAGTAACAGTAATAGCAGCAGCAGCAGCGGCAGTAACAATAACAACAGCAACATCGACAATAACAATAATGAGAAGGAAGAAAAGTGAAGCTCGAGTAACGCTAACAAAGGCTCCGGGCGATTATGGCAGCCCAGGCTTCTTCCCAGCGAAAGTTTGCTATTTTTACAGGCTGCAGTTTAGGTTTAATTACCCTTAATTGCATACATTGTTTATAGCGCTACGCAATAAATAATTACGAAGACTAATACGTGCACATCTGGGTTGGTTTCTTTTCCAGCCAAGCATTGTGCGCTCTGTGTATTGGTCCCCTGTGATTCTCAGCCTCTCTTGACTAATATTTTGTAATTTAATTTAATTTTTTCCCCCGATAGATTTTTTTTTTTTTTTTTAATACAACACCCTCCCTCCCGCCTTGCCTTCCCTCCTCCCCTCCCCCCCTCCCCAAAGCCGAGTGCACCTACCTGTCTCCTCTAACCGGGTCTGAGTCAGGCTGGAGCTGTTGGGGTAGGACTGCACTGAACTGATGTAGGGGTTGGTCGAGTGGCTGCTGACCGAGTTCACATAGGGGTAGCCCAGCGGTCGGGAGAAGGACGAAGCTGTGCTGTACGAGCTGTCAGGCTGAGAGTGGCCCGCGGAGTGTAAACAGTGCATGGAATAGTGTCCGTGGGACATGGGAGAAGGAGACATTTGCTGGCTGGGCGGCCCAAACTCCATAAAGACAGCCTTCCCTGAGACGGGGCTATTTAGACTCTCTGGCATGGTAGTCATGGTCATTTCTTGTCGCTTGGTCTGTGTGTGTGTTCTCTCTTCAGCTTGCCTTTTTGGGGTCTGTTGTGTTTCTCAGGACAGGAAAGAACCCAATTTAAGCGAAACAGGGTTTTTCACTTTCCATTCATAAGAAAATGGAGTTTGTCTCTTTGAAAAGTCTAAGCATGATGCTGTAGATCTACACAAACTCGCCTAAAAGCTTTGACTCAGCCAAGTCTATGAATATTCATGAGACGGCGGAGCTGATTGGTCCGCCGTCTTGCATAATCGCTTTGGATTGGTCCGAGGCGCTCGGGGCTCGCCCGGACCCCGGTGAGCGCGGAGAGCCGGGCTGGCAGCGCCGCGCTTGCCCGAGCGCCGGCGGCGGCCGCACGCCCGCCCCGCTGCCGGCCGGCCCCGGCGCGGAGCCGCCCAGGAGCCCGCTCCCATCGCAGGCCGCCCGCTCCCGCCGCCGATCCGGACTTTGGCGGAAGGCACCGCAACCCCCTCCGCCCTTGTCCGCCCCTCGCCGAGAAGGCGGCGCGGAGGGGGCAGCAGCCGCGCTCCGCCGGGCTGGGCGGGCCGCGGGGGTTCCTGCAGCTGCCGCCCCGCTCCGGCAGACGCGGCGGGACCCGCGGACAAAGCGAGCGGCCCCCGCCCGCCAGGCCCCGCGGGCGAGCAGCGGCTCCCGGCCCCGGCCCGCGGATCCCAGCGCCGCCCGCACCTCCGGATCGCGCCGCCCGGCTCCTGCCGCCGCTGCTGTAAAGGGGGAAAAGCGATCCAACCAACCAAAGTCCCCCTGAAAGGGCCTAACGGCGCATTTGAGCTCAAAATGAAAACTTCCGCGTGCGTGAGCGGTAAATGAGGTGGGACTTATGAGATCCTCCCCAGAAAGCCCACGATGAATCCCAAATTACTTTGCTAGATAATTAGAAAGTGTTGATAATTATTTCTTTCATAATTCTGCGGTGTGACTGTAACAGGAAAATGATCTTGTGAAAGTTCACACGTGCAGATGTATTAGTTACTGATTCATTTGATTAAATGCTAGTCTCAAGTGCTCTGATCCACAGCTGAAGGCGGCCCCATTAGCATAACACTGATGTTTAATTTTCATACGCATAATTAGCCATATATTTAACACTAATAGCAACATGCAGCCTTCCAGCATTAAACAGCCTGGGATTTGATCTGGCCTGGGCTGAACTTTCCCGGTTACACCTAGGCTGTCTAGGGTGCGCAGTTATCACTGCACTACATCTATGTAATCAAGCACATTTTGGCAAAGGGAGAACACCAATAAAAATGAACATTCAAAACAAATCGCAGCGTTGATGTCGTTAGAGGTACTAGCGTCGGTAGCGGGGCTTGGGCACCCCCGGCAGAGCCCGGGTACTGTTCAGGATCCTTCGGGCAGCGCGGCCCTTGAAGCAGCCGGCCCCTAACTGTGCAAAGCTGGCACAACCGAGCCCCTCTGCTCCCTTTATTTTTTTTTGGTTTTTTTTTTTTTTTTTTTTTTTTTTTTTTGTTTTCTCCTTTCATTAGTGGCTCTGTCGGTTTTAATTGCCCGTTTCCTAACCACGCTTTTACCTCCTTCCCCCCCCGCCCCCCTTTTTTTTCTCAATGTTTTGGGTTTTGTTTTTTTTCTTTCTTTGCTCGCAATGCGCGAAGTTCATTCTCACTACCTCACCAAGCCTTGGCGCAGAAGGGGCAGTGACGGTGTTTCCGCACGCACACGGCACCCCCGCCAGCCAGCTCTGTCCCTCTGGCCATGGAAGTGACCACCCGAGGCGGGTCAGCGAGCTTGACCGAGCAGGGAACAGGGCGCCCGGGCAGCTCCGGCACCTTCGCCGGCCTCAGCCTGACAACTGCAGAGAGGGGAGGCCGCTCCGCGTCCGCCGGGACTGCCGTCTTCTGCTCCGCTCGGCCGGACACGGGCAGTCCCGGGGCGAACCACAGTCCCTCCAACCCCGCCAAAGCTCCGCGGAGCGGTCGGTGAGGCTCCGCTCGCCCCCGTCCTGCAGAGCAGGGCCCCCGCCCCTCCGCGGTCCCGGTCAGCGCGGCCTCGGCGGGCGCGGAGGGGCCGCGGCCACGGGACGTCCCGACCCCGCGGGAGCGATTGCCACGTCGGGACTCTCATGGTGCTGGCCCGGCAACACCTTCTGCATGATGGGCTTGTGCTGGCTGTCCCCGAACAGGCGAGACATCTCTCCAGTCTCGTTCGTAATTAGGATTACAAAGGTGCGCTATCAATGCCTCCGCCTGGCCGCCAGCGCTCCGCAGCAGGGTAAAACTCGCAGTCCCGCCAGAGTTACCGGCGGGACTTCAGGGCGCAGTGATTACCAGGAGCTGCCGACAGCCCCCCCTCACGACGGGCTGCGGGGTTTCCCCGCTCCCGGTCGCCCCGTTCCCGCCTCATCCCACGCCGCGGTAAGAGCAGGACAGGAGGCAAAGGGCAGACGATGGTGAGGAACATGGCACCTGCGGTGCTATCCAGGGGCTCCCGGCGTGGCCAAAATCCACGGGAGGCACCTCTGCTGCGCCTCCGGGACGCACCGGACACCCTGCTGCCCCCAGTGCCCCTCAGAAGGGGTAGCGCGGCTGGGCGATGGAACTTAAGGGAACAAAACACATGCCCCTCCAGGCAATGCCGACTGTCCTTCGCAATGTTTAATCTCTGCGTATTTGTAAACTTGGCTGCATCGTTTGTTTTACAGGTTTTATGGCCTTCCAAGCTCCTCTCGGGAGGATGAAGCTGAGTGGCTGCCCCGCGGTGTTAGCTGTATTCAGGGAGGGGGGTCCCTGCTTTTTGAAAAGCTGCTGTTAGAAACTATTAGAGCTGAGAGCTCACTGTACCTGAATGAAAGCAAACAGCAGAGTAAAGCTGTAAGAAAGCAGCTTACTTCTGCCCAGGACCACTGAGGGAGCCAGTGCTGAGCCACTCTGGTTGCCTGAATGTGCAACTGGCCAGCCCTCAGCATGCGACCCCATCTGCCTGCAATGAGGGCCAAGTCACTTGTACCAAACAGCACCGCTGTTGCCGTGGGCCTGGGGAAATTCTGGAAGTCCTTTAATTATCTCCAAGGCTACTCCACGTTTCACAGGCCCAGGTCCTGCTCTGGTAGCCTCCAAATACCAGTGCCAGACTTGTTTGGTCCCGCAGGGCAGTCAGCAAGTGGCTAAATTGCAAATCAAGCCCTGCACACCCGGCAGGCCCAGGACAGGACTGCAGAGAGCACAGGGCCGAGTGAGACCGCAGCTCGTGAGCTCTATAGGTTCCAAACTTGGGGCAGGAGTCAGGACTCATCTTCCAGACTGCAAACTCCTCTGCCTCCATAAAATGCCTAAACTGTAGAGTGCCTCTCCCTTAACTAACATGGGCACCACAGAGCAGTGATTACCCCAAACTGGCTAATTTTTCAAGCAGGGCAATTATTGACCCCCAGAGAGGTGTGCTTTGCATCTCATTTTTAATCACTTTTTGTGCTGTGTAAAAAGAGGCAAGAAGCAGGGGATTGCTGCTGGGAATGATGCTGGGAAGAGTCTGTTCCCTCTGCCTGACACTCTCAGGAAACTTTTTTCCATCCTAGTAGAAGTTACAGCCTGGGAAACAGCACTGTGTTAATCTCAATGAAGACAAATTGACTCCATACCTCAGCTATAAAGGGAAAATGCTATGTTTCTCTGTCCTCTCAACTGCCTAAAGACTGTATAATCTGATATCCATTTGCCCCACATAGGATTTGGAAGAGAGGGGCCCCACTTTCTGCACCTAACACCAAATAACCCAAACCCTTTCCACTTGCAGACTATGCTTGGCTGCTCCAAGGGTCACAAAAAACCTAAAGACTTTTATTAAATACTCACCAGGTAATACACAGAAATGTCGAGAGCCAACACCTCAAATTGCTTTTTCTGTCCCCTGGAGTGACTTATGCAACAGCCATTCCCCTCAGAAATTACAGAAACCTCTTCCCTGTCCCGAGTGAAACTTGAAATCCCAGAAGTACAGCAAGTCTCTGCACTCCTTGCTCCATCTTTAGGCTTCTTCCACCAGTTTAGTGAGGATTTCTGCTCCCTCTGAGGTAATCACCAGGGTATGCTCAAATTGTGCCGATCTGAAATTCACATTTAGCAGTTATGAGGGGGAATACACATTCACCATGCCTGGAAAATAATCTCTTTGGGTTTTTTGGGCTGGCAGTGATGAGTTCCATGTCTTAGGAAATACTAAAAAAAATAAAATCAGGCACCTTTTATTGTCTACAGAAATCGCAGTCCATTTGTCCTCCAGAATCTTAAATTCAGGGGATCCTTCCATTATTATTGGCTCTGTATCAAGAAAAACAAAATGTATTCTAAAGTTAGTTGCACTCCTGTGTGGATTATGAAACAATCAAGAACAGGAGGTATCTCAGCAGGTAGCTCCCCATCCACACAGGTCCCATCTCCCTGGGCTGGCATTCTCTTGATACACTAAAATGTGAACTAAAAAGGAAGACAAAATAGCAAGGTAGGAAGTTGCCCATTCCTCTTTTGTAAAAACATGGAATTTTAATCAAGCTTTAATTAAGACCGTGTGGATAATAACCAAAGCACCAACCACATTTATAAACAACAGATAGTTTTAAATATTCGAATTTTTTAAACAGGCTTAAAATGTTCATTAAATCAGCAAAACAACAATTTTCTTATTTCCTTCTAATTGCCGTGCCATTTAGCCACACAGTGAGAACGAAGGCTTTTCCCCCAGCAGTTCTCCACGACTGGAAGTGAGCACGATCAGTCTGCGGGGCGAGGCTCCGGCTGGTTACCGCCGCCGCAGTCCCCAAACCCAACAGCAGCTCGGGAAGGCAGCAAATGACTAAGTGGCACCAGGCTGCTCGGCTTCGGGGACACGATCGCATCCTTCTCACCCTCCTCAAATTAAGTGTGCTGGCAGAGTCTCTGCCTTGCCAGAAATAGGAGTCAAATATTAGCAAAATTTATAATTAACATTTCATTCTTTAAATCTGGTAATTTGAAAATCATTTAATCCAACTAGTTCCTAATGCATTTTAAAAAATGATATTTTAATCTATTTCCTAAGAGGTCAATCTCACTGACGTCCCCCTGTCTGCACGGTTATTTCTATATCCCAATAAAGAAATGTTACAGATCTGGGCTGCTTCGTGTGTGCTTTTTAACAGAAAGCCATAGCAGAGAGTTACTAACCTATTGTGAACGCCATTCCCTCTTCCATTAACAAATCACTGTCATTGGCTACAAAAGAAAAAAAAAAACGCGTTTATGCATCTTGGGTCTTTTTTTTTCTTTCTTTCTTTCTTTTTTTTTTTTTTTTTTTTTTTTTTAAGAGAACGCAAACAAGCCCTTTGTTTAAACCCCTTTTTAGCTCGCAGGTACTGTGCACCCGAGCCCCGTTATGAGCCGGAGCACCCGCCGAAAGCGATCCCAGCCCGGCCGCAGTGAGACCACCCCGACGGCTCCGTCCAGGCCGGGAGCTTTAACGTTTTAGCAGGGATTTTTAGCAGGGATTTCTCCTTGCCCCGTGACAAACTTTGCCGGCGTGGCTCGGGCGCGGGCGGGATGCGGAGGCGCGGGACAGGGCGGCTGCGGCCCGGAGCGGGCGGGGCAGGCGGTGCGCGGCGCTCAGCTGCCCCGGCAACTCCGCTAACCAGCGGCTCGTCCTCATAAATACCCACGCGACCTCAGAAAACGGGGCCGGGGATGCCCTCCAGCTTCCCAGCGATTTAATCTCCCCACCGGCAATCCCCCGCCCCGCCGGACCGGCAGCGTGCGTGTGTGTGTGTGGATGTGTGGGGGTGTGTGTGTGTGGGGCTCTGCTCGCTTTACCGCCCGCCCTCTCCCCCTCCCCGGAGCCCTCTCATCGCCCGGGCGGAGCGGGGCGGAGGAAGACGGGCCCGGCGGGCGGGGGCCGCTTACCGTGGTGCCACACTTCGGGGTGCCCGTGAAAGTACGACCCGATGCCGTGGCCGACGAAGAAGGGGCAGACCTGGAAGCCACCTTGCCATGCCAGGGAGCTGCGGGGGCAAAGAGGACCTGTCAGGGTGCGTGCCCCCACCACCAGCCCCGCTAGACGGCCCCAGCCCTGCTACCGCGTTGCTACCGACCCTGGGTCACCACTTTGCCACCGTTCCGAAAGACAGGCATTGAAGGGAGCATGGCTGAGCCATTGCTAGGTTTCAGAGTGAACACGCCTGCCAACAGAGGCTGGTGGTTCCCGTGCCAGCCCTCTAAGTAAAACAGCAGTGTGTTGTCTCCCTGCTCGATGGAGGGTAACCTCTTCCACAAGCACACAAGAGAACTCATTTTAAGATGGCACAGCTGAAGTTGGCAAGTTGGGCAGCCAAGGCCTCAGCACAGTACCAAAGCACAGCCTCTGCCGAGTTCTCTGGAAGTGCAGAGTCTGTGCTGGGCTGCATACCCAGGGGACTGCCCTGGGTTTCCTGCAGAAGGGGTTCCTGCTGCCAACAGGGAGAGTTAGGAGCCTTACTACTTTGCTTTCATAATACTTCAAACGTTTAGTATAAAAACCTATTGAAAGTTCAGCAAATAGATGTATGCTAAATAACAATGTATTTCTAATGAATCTATTGCCACAGAGGCAAAACCAAATCATAACAATTACAGTATTTCAGTTCTGCCTGAGAGATCTGGCCTGCCTTTCATGGCCTGCCTCAGGGAGAAGCATCTCTGAGAACTGCCTCCAGGACCACGGCTAAGCACTGATCCCTACCCATGGCAGGAAAGAAAATTCCTCTCCCAGTTCCCCGAAACTGGAGGACTTGGAGATACATGGCTGCTGGCTCACCCCATGTCTGCAGGCTTCACTTTTCAGGGTCACCCTGTACTCAAGCAGTGGTGGACACAGGGATTTGAGGCAGCTCAGCCAAGAGGCTTGTTTCCGAACCAGAAAAATGCAGAGATTCACAAAGATCTGGAGATGGATTAGAAGTGCCAAGAAAGTTACCCTTGTCCCTGCATGTCACCCCCATCCTATTTCTAAAATCAAACAGGAGCAAGACAGGAATACACTTAGCCTGAAGAGATTTTGCCTATAACATTAAAAGCTTCATTTGCTTCTTTTTGAATGAAGGTAGGCATTGAAGAACTTCAAGTTGTCCGTACTTATGTCTTAGGAAATGCTGTCTCACAGTTTCACTACAGGTGGAAAGCTGGAAAAGTTAGAAAACTCAACTAAAGGTAAAGCTGTTGCAGAAATTAAAGCCTGTTAATCCCCATGGGGAAGCTTTTATTCAGGTGCAAAGTGCCCTCAGCTTGCTGTACAAAGTAATCACCTTTGCACACCAGGCTCCACAGACTCTGCAGTGCTGGCTCCAGTGCCCATGGGTCATCGTCCCAGAATTTAATGCTACTCAATTGAGGGACATGCTGCTCCACCACAGTTAAACGGCAATGAGAGAGTAGAGTTGGTTAATGCTGCAGTGTTCAGACTTTGGAACATATTTTAACAGGATTCGTTACTTTCTACCCTTTTATTGCTCTGATAAAAAGACTCATCATATTTCTTCATTAGCTCTGGAGAAGAACAGAAATTTCATGTTTAGGTACCCCCAAACTCCAAAGAGGATTACCGATAAAGCTAGAAATTGGGCCCTAATTTGTTTGCACTCAAAAGTCCAGGCTTTATAAATAATTTATGTATACATAAACTTTATACATCAGTTATTTTGAAAAGAAATCATGAAGGATTATGCAATGGGAAGTCCTACTAGAGATGGAAAATACTTTCTCCCCTGTCTTTCTATCATGTTCCCCATATCTGGGTCAGAGACTTGGCCTGCTGGCTGTGATGCCGCTGAAGGTTGAGCAAGAAGTACAGGGAATGGTGATGAGTCAGAAAGCCAGATTCCTCAGAAACATACACAAAATCCAAGATCTCCAGTGACCAAGCCTAGAGCAATGCAGATGATGATTCCCATATGAGTGAAGTGATTCTCCAAGGAGAGATGGGAGAAGTCATTCATGCAACATATGATAAGGTATTCCTTCATCTTTTTCTGCTAGTCTTTTAGCAAAATCATAAACAATCACACTAACTGTTCAGCTTTGCTGATGTCCTTACGTGGTATCCTGACCAAGGACAGAGCATGGTAATTTTTTGTATTACTACTGGATTTTTTCTTCCAGAAAAATCCATGTTCTGTAGCAAAACAGAAATAGTTTTTCTCTGTGCATGTATTCTTCTGAGCACCATGGCTACATACTTTGCAGTGAGCAGGGGAAGCTCCAGCCTCAGCATTCAGCTGCTGCCGAGGAGGGTGGCAGTAGCAGCAGGAGCTGTGTACTGGGCACCAAGCACACAAGCACCAGGGCACACAGAAGGCAGTGTTACAACAGTATCCTGTCCTCATGCAGTCAAAGTAATGATTCATATGCATCTCAATGGTGAATTCTACCACCTTCTTGTCAAACAGCTTGAGAACAATTCTGTTAGCATCAGTACTTCAGTGGTTACTGTCTGTGATCAAAGAGGGGATTCCAGAGCTCACAGGGCTTTGACATCTACACTGACAGACACTGTGCCCCTCCTTCTTCCCTCTTGTTTACATCCAGAGCCTTGGTATTCTCTACATAAAATGTAACACGGTCAACAGACCTGCAGTAACACACAGAAAAGAAGCTGCAGGTATGAAATTCAACCATTTTCAATCTGGTTTTAGTATTTGCATGCACTTCAGGCATTTCTCTCCACAACTACTAGCTTTACTTTGGAGTATTTAATAAATCCTAGTGTACTCTTACATCCTTTGGGAGTTACAGTAAAACACCCAGCTTTCATAACAAAACAAAGCTGCTAATCTTAGCTACAACTTGCAAAGGCAATCTTGTAAATGTACATGTTGGCTGTAACTTTGAGACAGCTCTGAGAAGAGTGAATTGAACTATTGGTCTTGGTTAGCCTCTCCAGTCTCCAGGATCCCCAAGCTGTGGAATCTGATTAAAAAATCAAGATGCCAGAGAGCAGAGCATTTTTGCACACAATTTACCATTTCTTGCTGACAACAGCTCAACATTTTAGTCTCACTGTCCCACTGCCCAGCTCAGGACCTGTCAGTGGTGGCCTTTCTTTGCAGCTGTCTCATGAGACAATCTTACAAGATTGCAGCTCCAGCTTCATCAGATGCTTCTTGCAGACAGGCAGAGTAAGCTTAGACAGCTGGAGGAGGCCTGACTGCAAGAGGGAAAGCAGTGAAGGCAGGAGGCAGAGGGTGGCATGGCTGAGCTGGGCTGCCTGGCATCTGCTGTGGGAAAGGATATGCTAGTTCCCCTTGGAATGGGGAACATCCCAGCAAATCATCTTCAGAGCAAATGTTGGGGCAGCAGAGGTACACCCCACAAGACAGAATCAAGAGAAAAAAAAGCTTCTTCAGAATAATCACTGTTAAAAATACCCATTGACAACATTTATTACCACACATATTGATCTTTGTTGCATATTCGGGCAGAGGTGAATTGGGCAGGATTAAAAGCATAATTATTTAGTGAGCCCAGTACTTGATTTTATCTTTTGCTGCCATGTGTTCTAGCCCAGTGGCTGAGGAGTCAAGAGAGCTGCAGTGCTGCCTTTCTTTTGCTGATGGCAAAGCCAGGCTAAGTGTCTGGCACTGGCATGGATCAGCAGTAAAGGAACATCACTGAGGGCCAAGCAATCCTCCTGAAGCCATTGTCAGAGCCTGTCATAGGGTGGTGTCGTGCTTCAGAGAGTGGAGACAGGAAAGATAGGTGTCAGTTGCCATCTGAGCATCCTCTTCCCATGTTGCCAGACAACAGCTAATTCTCTGAAAGCAGGGATAAGTGTGGAGACATGCATTGCTGTCCTGACAGCAGCCTAACAGGGAAATTGCCACAAAGGAGGAACAGGCAGGACTGACTCTCTAGAAAGCTTTCCCCTATACTCAAGTTTCCCCTCAAAGGAGCTCTTGGGTGATAAATCCCTCCTGTTAAGCTGAAAAGCAGGTTGAAAGAATTTCCTTAGGGAGCTGTCCTGTGCAGATATCCTGTAGGTGCACCTAGAGAAGCACTTTCCTCTTTTTACCAAATTTTGTCACTTTTTCCTCAGGGTAGGTCTGGTCTAGTATTCTTAGAACTCACTGAAGAGAAAAAAAAAGTGAAACAATCCCATTTTCAGCATTGATAGCTACTGCTTCTCTGGGCTCTGTGGTGGCACAAGGGAAGAAAGAATTTGACTGATTGGAGAAGACGGCACAGACTGCTTTGCTGCCAAGGACAAGTACCCTGGTGAACTGATCCTCAGCCAGGGATCCTTCTCCCACACTGCCAGATTCTCTTACCAGGGATGAAACCTTATCCAAAACAGTCCTGCAGAGCAGCATGACATGAATGGCTGAAGTTGTTAAACAAATTTGTCTTACACTTCTTGGCAGTGAAAATACATGAGAAACACTGAAACTGGTAAACAGCCCAATGAAAATTGTGTTCTTATGTAGGGATCTGATTTTTTTTTTTAATTAGAAGTAATCATGTTTGTCTTAGCTATATTAGTAGCAAAACGGCCATGAATGGCATACTTGTTTTTTTTTTAAGTACTGAAACCAGACTCATCCTAAACTTTATTTATTTATGATAAAAACCTATTTTGAATAGTGCCATAGTATTTAATTTGAGAAATTACAAAATTCTACAGGGAAAATATTCAAGTAGGGTTTTTTTTTCTGAAATCGTAATCCTAGACTGAGGGAATGCACAAGTTCAGGGATTCCCTATAATGACAATAAATGTTGAGGTATAATTAGTAATATTTTTGAAAGCCAACAATTGTTTTTTGAAAGAAAGGTACATTTTAGTTTCAAACTGGAACACAAATTACTGTATTTTTCTTACAATAGTGCTGAACTTTTATTTGAGGTTCTCCGTTTCTGAAAGCAGACATGATGGATTGAAATAAAAGATAATTTATTGCAATGCTTACTTTCAAGTGCAGAGAGAAGCAGTGTAATTGTAATTTACAGTAGCTGTCAAGGAAAATCTATCACAGATGACATTAAAATGACTTATTTTGCCTGAGCCACTTATTGTTTAAATGTGCATAATCTGATAGAAACAGATTTTTTTTTAAAATCTGCTTTATATTGTTCTAAATTAATATCAAAACATATACTTACTAGTTAAACATTTTAAGCCATTTATTAATACTTTCATCACTACTATTTTTTTGTAGGAGTTGAAATTTGGTTTATTTAACAACATCACTTTTAAGTTCTTTAGCTCTCTACACTCATAACACTTTCATGCACTTAGACTCACTGTCTAAAAAGTAGATTTCAAACTAGATACATTTTTGTCTGAAAATGTCAGAAACGGTAGAAGAAAATGGACCATAGGGTTACACTGGAACTGACCAATAGTTTTGATATGCCTTCCAGTAGAAAGAGGTTAGCAATGACCCAAATTTTTCTAAGCAAAGTAACTCACGAATCCATGCAATCCTTTATTTGCAACTTGTAGCCGATGGAAGAATGAGCTGCTATCAAGGAAATACTCAGTGTCAGCTATTGAGCTTCCATGACAAAGACTATGCCAGAATATTGACTGCAAACTTACTCCGAGATATAATTATTCTGAAACCTACTGTAGAAAGGAAGTATTCTTATTATTTGTGCATAAGATGCATTCTGGATACAACTGGAGCACCTTTACAGAAAAACTGATGAAAGAAACCTAGACACATTTCCATTCTGATGGACCTAAATGTTTTCAGCTTCTAGGTTAGGTGCTTGTTCTCAGGCATTTATAAAATCTAATTCTTGTGAAGCTTTATGTATATATATATATACATATTATATGTCTGTCTGTAAGCAAATGTCAAATGACAAATAACCTGAAACACACAGCTTCACCAAGCCAAGGTGAGCTTTCAGCAAAGGGAGTGTTAAAGTAGTTCTAAACAAATCAGCGCATTTAAATCGCCAACATGATAAAATCTTGAGAAATACAGTTAATGACCTGCTATTTCATATGCAGTTTTGAATAGCTACTAGCTTCAATTAATCTGCCTTGCAAAGGGGACACTGACTATATATTTACATTTTGCAAGGAAACTGACCTCTGCAACAACACAGCAAAAATCCAATGTCACATTCAACTCTGTTATTTTTCTTCTTCCTTTTTTTTTTAAAAAAAAAACAGCTAGAATTAATGTAGTGAATCTGTAATGAAATGCATTATCCTGCATGGAGATTTATCAGATTTTTCCAACTGAATGCCATGCTTTGCTAGCACTAGCTGGAGTTCACCTGCGTGTTGGTGTGGCGTGTGGCTCTTTTTTGTAAAGAGTTAAGTTGAACACAAAAAAAGGGAACAAAGGTCAGCACCCAGCCGCCACTTGAATGTGAGATTTTTCTTTTTATTCCCCTTGATGTATACTAGGCTCTGTGTTATTAGTCTTAATGATGGAAAATTGTAGTGTTGATACAAATCTTTTTTTCAAAGTAGTAGGCGGGAGCTCCATTTGTTAGTAAGTTTTTTTGTGACTAAAAGCCATGGACAGTACATTTATGTAGCAGTAAAAGGCCTAGATGCTCTTTCCATAGCAGAGCTAATTATTCCTACTGTGACCTTACTGATCTACCCTGTTCCTAGTACATCTCATCTGCACGCCTGTTCCTCTGTGTAGATGGTGTCAGAGAATATGAAAAACCCTATAATGAAACCATTTTCATGATGGAGAAAGGCTACTGGAGTTGCACTTGCTACAAAGAGGCTCAATTATATGAGTAATTGTGATAATTTTCTACATTCATAGCCTTCAATGGGGAAAAAAGAATGAGAGCCACAAAAGAAAATTACTTTAACAAGAAAGTACAGAGAGTAAAAATGGAAGAAGAGACAAAAAAGGGGGAAAAAAATAACCAGAAAAAAAAGTTTAAAAAATAGATCTGGAGGGAGGAATAGCAAGACAGGGAGAACAACAGAAATGCTCAAAAAGCCTATGTGCAGCTGTGTTGCACAATTAAATTGAATTTTTTTTCTGCAGTTGATGAATGTGACTACTGCAAATGTGCCTCTGTAGTTAGCTATCATTTGTTGTTCCGTGACAGGAAAAGGATAATTACCTCTCAGAGAGAATCAAAGGCTGACATGCCCTTTAGACACAGCCATGAATGCAGAGCTCGATAGAATGCTTGAATAAGAATCCAGTGTTCTGTGCCCCCTTCTACTCAAGAATAAATTTTGTTAAAATGCAAGAGCACCACCAGTAAATTTGTTGAACCCTAGGTGTTCAAAAATATGAGGTGCATCTATCGACTCATCCCATTTGCAAAAATAAAACTACATTTTGAATTCACTTCTATTATATTCATGGACAGTAAGATAGTGAGATATGCATTAAATTTCTTTTCCCAGTAGGGGTCTGATTCAACATTTCCTATGAAAGAACAGAAAGACACTATCCTTTTTCTCCAGGCTAGTTAGCCTATAATTTAAAACTGTCAAAAACACAATTTTATACAAAGTCTTCAATAAAAGCTTCTCAGATATAACCCAAAGAGGTTTTACTAAAGTTTGATTCAGACTCTGTTACAATATTTTTAAAGCTATAAATACATCTAACTGATATTTTGCCGTTCTCTTTTTTTCTTAAAGTATTTGAAGATTTACAAAGGGAAAAAAAGGCAGCATCCTTTCAAGGTGACTAAGTCTTGCAGCTTTTAAGTAATCAGAATGAATTCAATAGCTTGTTGGGACCATTAGCAGTCCGAAGAAGTATTGCTTAATGAAATGTATATGATATATGTCTATTTCTTTCTTTTGGAAAACATTTTAAAATAATCCATAGGTACCTTCAAAAAACGAAGACGCATTTTTATTTAAAGCCATCAGCAGAAGAGTCATGACTGCATTTATGTGAAGGCTAGAAGAGATGCAAAATAGGGAAAAATCTCTGAATGTCAGCCCTTTTTTCCCTATGACGTTAGCAGGCACTGCTCTTTGTAAGATCAGAAGCTCTCGAGTTAAATATTTTCGTAGTTTTTAAACAAAGAGCTTATTTATGTTGACTAATTCTTTTGTAACAGTCAATGAAAACAATGGTTTCTAACTGTCTTACACCGTTAGACAGATGTGGTGTAGTGTCATACACAAATAAAAAATAAACAAAAGCCCACTGCAAATCACATCTGTTAATTTAAATTTACTTTATGAATATCTTTTTCTTTTTCTACAGTTATCTTTGCTGACCCTAGTGTAATTCACTTTAAAAAAATACCTCTTATCCAAGGAACAACATTATAGCTTGGCAGTTCACATACTGATATCAGACTGAAATGATGGTTTTGAATCATAAAACATGTCATCAGCTTTATACCAAACCACCAATAACCTTTGTCCCATTTGCCAGCCCTCCTTTTACTTGTCAATATAAGGCTTACCTGATTGTGTTTCCAATTACAGAGAAGGGAGCCCCTGGTCTGCAAGCTGCAATTGCTTCATCTCTACATTTCCTGGCAACCTCCACTAACTTTTCACCAGATTTATCCACATTGCCCACCAAAAAGGTTTCAGAAGTGTCACCATGGTAGCCATTGTAATACACCTAAACATATACAGAAATGCAAAGACATTTTCTCATTTTGCATCCAGAAACAAATCTAAATCCATTCTTTCTAGGAACAAGCTATAAATTGCAACAGATAGACAGGTAAGTCGTATTTGCAACACTGGAAAAGCAAAACATTGCAGAGAAAAAAAAAAAAAAGCTTGAAAGGTGCCTAAGGGTTGCCATTGCTGCCAATTAAAAATTCAAGAAAAGCAGAAGCTGTGCATCAGTGCCCAGCAGTGCACCAGGCAGTGACACTGCTCAGCCACAGGCCATGAGGATATCTGGGAGAAGATGGGTGGGGGCCGTGGATGGGCTGAGGGGCCTTGGGGGCTCTTGGGTCCCACCCATGGTGGCCCCTTGCCCTGCAGCCAGGGCCCTGCTTGCACCCCGAGGGGCAGGGCCAGAGCCCCAGCGCTGGGGGAACCTGCTGGTGGCTGCCAGGGAGGTGAGTGTCTGCAGGGAGCAGCCCCCCTTGGAGCTCTGAGTGAGAGCCATGCCCTGCTACCAACAGCCAGAGTGACCCCCAGGACCAAATCCACTGTCAGCTGTTGCATGTTTTCTTTAACCTAATTTTTAAGCTACAATGTAGCATTAACATTGGATTTTACTTCTGATTTCCAAAGGTGAATTTTGAGAGAATAAATGTACTGCCATGGCACTGAAAAATTTCATGTTCTGAAAATGGAACATGCTGTTGAATTAATTACAAATTGGTTTTTTTTCTTTTCCTTTGAAATGTCATAGGTTTTAAATGTTAGCCCTCCTGAAATTCTCTGTTGAGCACAAGAAATCCTGGCTATGCAGTATGGAGCTCTGCAACACACCATTAAAATGGGGTTTGCAGCTCTGCACATGGCAGGCAGGCCCATAATTGTAAGACCAAGCCATATTTCCCTACAAAAAGACAAATTATAATGGTGCACAGTTTTGATCTTCTAAAACATTTTTTCTCCCCCAAACAGTGGGCAACTATCCTTCTACAACTAATTACTCACCGAGCTCGAACCACTGAACTTTTGCCACTGGCAAGCTATTTGTGAAAGACAGACTCACATTCTTTTTGGTTGATTCCAAACTAAAAAAAAACCCCATAACCCCAAAAACCCCACAATACAGACAGTTTATCTCAAGGCCAGGTTTGTCTTCAAGCTGAGATATAAAGAAAATGCAGGCCATTAGGAAAAAGGGGTATTTTAAAGAAAGGTGAGTGCCAGCAAGGGCCCAACTGTGTTGCTACTGCTCTGGCAAAAAGCAGCTGCAATCCTCTTCTCTACACCTTCCTCAGCCAGTTCAGACTACCATAAAATAATTTTTATTTTTTATTTAATACCTATTGGGCAGGTTTTAAAGTAGATAGTTCAAATTTAGACTAAACTAGTATGTTTTTAGCTCTGGAAGGAAAACACACAAACCCCCAACATTAAGCATCATCATCCTGGAAAAGCAAACACAGATTTAAAACACGGGAGAGTTAAAAAAAAACCAAACCCACAAACAACAACAAAAAAACCCAACAACAAACCAAATAATAATATTTACTGCAGCCCATCAGCTGCAATTACATATTTCTGATGTTAATAAACTACAACCACAGCAAATGTAATATACTATTTCCTTAAATTCAGTGAAAGAACCAAGTTGTAAGAAACATTAATCTGGTAACAATAGGCTGAAAATTGCACTATGCTGAGGATCCAGCAATGGATATCACTATTGTCTCTATACTAAAACATATTTTCAAGTCCACATGTTTCAAGCCTATAAAATTTGTATTTCATCTATGAAATGCTACCATCTTAATTGTGCTAAAATGGATTTTTTTGTTCAGATAATCTGTACACAGTGCTAGGTATTTAAACTTAACAACCTGAGTATTATTTAATTACTTTATAGAACCTGTACACAATTATAAACAATTTGTTGTGCAATATTTACTTTGATTTTTATTCTGTCCAGCAGTGAAATGTCCCAGTTTTGCACATTAAAAATAAGCTAAAAGACCAGTTAATAATGCTGAAAAGTGGTATTTTTTCCTCAGCTGTTTTGGACTAAGCAATTATCACACACAGCACAGTTTAGTTTTAAATGATTAAAAAAAATTCTTACAAAGGCAGTCAGCAATTCCCATCCTTGCAGTAATCTTTATATTCACAGAAATGTCAAGATTTATTTTCTGAGATTAAATTAAAAGCAAATAAATATATGTGTGCAAAAAGGCCAGTAACATTTAGTCAGACATTTGTAAAGCAGAGTGGACAAGACATACACACTATTTTAATATAAAAATTGTTTCATTTAGTTTATCATGGAAAGTATCTGTGATATGACTCTATACTTCTTTTACATCTAAGGTATCATTATTATCCCGACAGACTGAACAAAAAGTAAAATGAACCTTAAGGAGGTACAAAGAAATATGATTTAAATCCTTAGTTGTTGCAAACTGGTTTAGTATAATAAACTAAGCAAAGTGACACCAGTTCATCAAAGTTAAAATGAAGGCCAAAAATAAAGTTTTAAAATGCTAGATTGCACTATGTAAACCTGATAGTCCGAATTCTACAATTAGAAAGTACAGAGATGGGAAAGAATTTAAAAAGATCAAAACCCCAAGCCAAACCAAATCCAGTTCTGGATCACATATGAGTATAGAATGGGAAAAAGGTCGTTGACCCTTATTTTAATAGAAAAAATATTTTAGAAAGCTTGAATCTCATGCTCAGAGGTAGGTCTGCTGAAGATTTCTTCACTCTGCCAGTATGAACATGGTATCAGGTTACCAATAGGTTCTTTAATGATTTAAAAACCTTGTTTTTATGAGATTCTACTCCCTTGTATGTGACATATTATTGCAAAATAATGGATTAAAAAAACATCTGTGTTCATACTAGAAATAAACAGCACTTCAGAAAAATAAAAACATGCACAGCAAAAAGAAAAAAAACTCCTGCAAGACACAATTTTTTTTAAATGAAATGAGAATTAGGTTTCCAGGTCCTGTGCTTTCTTGCTCCTAGGAAAACCCAGCCTGTGTTTATTTAAATAGCTATAACTGATGATTCCCTGGAAATATTAAGTCACAGTTATATCACACTATTTCTGTTACTGCTCAAAAGGTTCAGGGCTTCCATACAGAAATGGAACACAACACTACCTTCGGGGATTTTAATAAATGTAGGGAACACTGCTAGCAAAAGAGTTGCTGTCCAAATAGACTGACATACCCAGGCCAATGCAGCCTCTAATGACAGAGTAAGATAATGTCAGGCCCCACTCAAAATCAGCAGGAAGAGGAAGATCAATCTTGGCAGAGTGAAGGAAAAATGCTGGCTTTCTTCATGTTAGCTCATCTCATACATATCTATCTTCAGCTGCTGCCCAGTACTGTGGTGCTCTGCATTAACTACACAGTGGATCAATAACAATTACACCTTCTCAAAAACATGACACATAGCAGGATTGGGTTGACATTTCACTTAGGCCAACATTGATCTCAGTGCATCTGATTCCAGTCCTAAATTCAAGTCAGGCCTGAGTCTAGCTGGAATAAACACACAGTTAAAAACAAAAAAGGAAACCAGCTGCTTGTGCCTTGGCTCAGAAGTAAACAGCACATCCATCTGTGCATCCCCCATCTCCAATCCGCTATTCTTCCTGTTGCTACTAGTGATTCTAAAGTTGATCAAAGACTATTTTTTATATGAATTACTCACCGTGACATCAATGTTGATAATATCTCCATCCTGAAGAGGTCGACTGAAACATAAACAGAAAAAAAAAATAATGGTGACAGACAGTTCCCAACAAAGGGAATATAAGAATAAACACCTAATGACACATACATAAAAAATCAAGGGGTAGATATTTTGTGATGGAGGAAGGCAGAAGCAAACAGAATAACCATTTTTAATGTTCAGCTCCGACTATTTAGAGAACAAGTGTAGCTGAATATAAAATAATGAGAAACAACTACCAGAAAAACATATCAACACCTGAAAAATCTACCATTATATTTATTCTTTTTCTCTCACTAGGGTTCACATTTTACTTTGTGAGTAGCTGAATGTATTGAGAATATAAAAAAATCCCACATAAATTCAAATATATTTATTCCTTAGCCTATACTTATTTTGCTGGATGAACAAAAAATCAGACCATTTTTTTCCCCTCACAAACACAAAACTCAAAATGCAATATGCTATTTTTCTTTAAGTGTCTGGAAAACCAGGATAATATATTTTTTTCCTATATTTTTTCGCATGTATTTCTGTAACAGCTATCAGCATCACAGGCTAACATGCTCTGCATCTACAACGCATTTAAGTACGACATTTAGTTAAGCTGAAGTATACTCAATATTAAATACAATTTATTAATTCCAGTATAACATTTGAATTTCCACTTGTAAAATGTACATTATTGAGGAAATACCTGTCAGGAATACCATGACATACCACGTTGTTTACAGAGGTACAAACAGATTTTGGAAAACCTCCATAGCCCAGAGGTGATGGATAGGCATTCCGTCTGATTATTTCATGATGAACAATGGAATCTATTTCTTCAGTTGTCATGCCAACCTAAAATATCAAACATAACATCCTGTTAGAAAAGCAAAGAGAGTTTCTCATATTTACTGAATGTGATTGCAGCCAAGCTTCAATGAAATATTGGGTGTTTCAAATATGCTGCTTTGACACAAGACTATACTGTCTGGCACACTTTATTGATATATGGACTTTTTTTTTCTGAAAAACCCTCCGAAAAAGAGATTTTAAATAAAGCATGCAGTAGAAATAAGCACTCAAAGGTTCCTAGAAAACGTAAAATCCTGTCTACTTCTTTTCTGTTCTTTTTTCCATATCTACTTTCTCAAAGACACCAATTTCCCATGTCATCGTTTCAGTAGCTGCTATAGAAATGTCTTGTTTCAACGCTTTCAGTCCCTTAAAACACAACATTACTTTCCTCTTTTATTTGTAAAAGAAACGATATTAAGTCTTGTAATTGCCCAGTACAATAATCATAATGTATTTAAGCATTTTTAGGAAATTGCTTTCCAGGTATTCCTAAATTTTATAAAACATTGAAATATTTAGATGCAAATTTTAAGGATATTTTACTTAAAGTTGTCATAGCCTGGATGATCATAATGAATCTACAAGTACTGACCATCAGTTTTAGAAATCTTCATTTTTATGCTTGATGTTTTCTAGATTCATATTTTCTGCATGATTTTACATATTAAAAAACCCCTCTCATGAATCAGTCAGCCATTTTCTGGGTATCCATGGAGTGCAAAGTGCACATGCTTAAAATAATATTACTCTTGCTTTTCTTTTGGATCAGCTCTGTCTCTGGAATGGTTTGAGCTGAAATTTGGTAGGAAACCCTCTCTAATTGAGAAGTACTTTTGAGGGTTCCTCTGTAAATTGATTTTGCTTTGAATGAGTTCCGAGCCTTTGAAAATCATACTTTGTACAGATACAAGTATCATTCTTAGCACACTGAAGGAAATGTCACAGTGGCTGTGATTTGGAAGGAACATGTGGAATACAGGTAGGCTGTGGTGCAGGAGACAGTTACATATTGAAATTCTGTATGGCCATGCACAGCCAACACAGAAGAGTGCACTTGTGTGCTGTGCTGAGGATAAAACCAGCTCTGTTTACTCAGCTGAATTTTGCTCAGCACAGAAACATTGTTGGGCAGGTGAGGAGCAATGAACGTGGGTTCAAGACCAGGATTTGGGATTAGTGCACGTGCTCCCTGTTTTGCAGCCACAGCCTTGGCAGGCTCTCTGGATTGGATAGGGCATCTGTTGGTTCTGGATAAATACAGATTTGTTGTTTCTGCCTCTCCTCAAACATCTTCATCTTTAGCCCACAGACAAACTGAACTGCTATGTACCTGACTGGCTGCTGTCTACTGCTTCTCTGCTCAAGCAATTTGATGTGATTTTTGGATACTCAGCAGACAGATCTCTGGTCTCTGCATGGCTTAGACTGTGCAAAGTTCTTCTTTTAACAGTATGTGCTTTACTTTTAAAGATACTTTTGCTAGCTGGGCAAGTCAGGGGTGGCACCTGCTGCGCCCCTAATCCCTTACTCGGAACAGGGCAATTCAATGGTATAGAAGAAAATATTTTCATGTCATAGAATCTGTGGTTTTATTCCCAAATCTGCAACTCAAACTCAGGAAAGCTATCATATATAATACTGTATCATAATTTGAAATCCCACAGGTGGTAATGGCAACATCAAAACCACGTTCAAACTCTATCTCTCTGTATCCATGGATTATAATGCACCTTTGTTATATTGGGGGATCTTAACTGCCACCAGCTAAAGCACAGGCAAGAGCCAGTTTGGAGGACTGTGAACAAGGTGGCTTCAGCAAGATAGCAGGAACAAGTGGAGGAATGGGACTCCAAGTAAAACAGGAATGTAGAGTTTAGCTTATGAGACTAGGCTAAAAGAGCTTGGTTTGTTCAGTCTGGTGCACAGCTCTATTCCTGCATGAAGGGGAAGATTCACAGAAAGGCAGGAAGTTGTTTAAATTAAAGAGCAGTGTTGGCACAAGAACAGATGGGCATAAACTGACCACAGGCAGCAACAGGCTGGAAAGCAGAAGATGCTCACTGTCAATAAGGGAGGGTTTTGGAGCATCCTCCCAGTCAGTGGAGTCTTGAACAAACAATTGTGTAAAACGGAGCTCAGCACCAGTTTGTGACTGACCTGAGCCGTGGTTTTAGCATTGCAACTCCAAATATCAGCTCTCCCTTGTACACAGGTCCTGGTTGTGTAATCACTACCTTATACACCTTTTGGCTCCAAAGCATTCATTATGCATGAGTAGTATTTTGCTATTGTATATGATTTAGCTCATATTATGAACTGCATCATAAACTACACCAGACTGCATACATGTGTATTTACACATGAATACAACAAAAGAGTATTTGTGGAAAAACTGCTCTCATTCAAAACCCACATTGCATCCTGATCCTTTGGAAACATGTATATGCCTTTAAATGGGTACATTTTATTGTGCTGAAAAACAATTGAACATTAAAAAGTTAAACATGCACAAGGCTATGTAAGATTAAAGCTTCAGGCAATTTTGTTATTTGCTATTCCAGCTCCAGAACTATACCTTTGTGAAAGAGTGATGATAGCTGAAAGAAAAATCCCCTTTTAAGTCAATGGCATTGACCTACAGTCCCTATCTATCTCTGCATCTCATAGCTACTCAACCCATTTCACCTTATCCAATATGCTATTACATGAAATACCAAGGCAAGGCTAAAAAAGCATTTCTTCATCTGCAAAACCTGGTAGTAGACTCCTCCCTCTACATTTTTTCTTGGGAGGTATCCTAAAAAGCATACTGTAGGAACATTTCTGGAAATCATGAGGCTTTACTATCAATGCACTCTGGAAAATTGTGTAGAATTTGGCAGCTGTTTTTCCTGTGGCAGCTCTATGAGGGGCACTGGAGCCACAGGACAGTGAGGGCTGAAGGATGGATGGGAATGGAGAAGGCAGACCAAGTGTGGGCTTGTACACATGCAGAGCTGGAAAACATGACATATGAGGTAGATGGGCCATTAAATGAAAGGAAAAAATGTAGCATGTGCCTTAGGAGAAACTCACATGATTTGACACAATCTGAAGAGAGGGAGATGACAAACACAGAGATATTACACCTGAGCCAGTAACTATGCACTACATGGGTCCAAAGTACAGAAATAATTAAACAGGCATATCATGAACTGAATCAAAGGTTAATAAATCCTTATTTTTTCAGAATCAAACTTAAAGTTGGATGCACATAATAGGAAAGTTAAAAGAACAAAAAAGTAGGAACAAAACCCAAATAAGTGAAAGCATAAAAAACACCCAAGCTGTTCTGGGACCTCTGTAATTGTTACCTTTAAGCCCTTTCCAGCCAGAAGCAGGACATGACGGGCCAACTGACAGGCTTGACGAAGCCCTTGAATCTGATCTTCATTCTTAATTTCTATGTCGTCTCCCCAGTCTGGTACAACGCCTGTCGTCACATAGTCTGGCTTCTTTATGTGCTTGGAGAAAAAGGATTGAAAATGAAGATCAGAAAACTGAGCATGACAATGGGATCATTTTCTCAGATATTGCCTCCTGCTTCATGGCAGCTTGCCCTTTCTGTCGTGGTATCGACCTTCCTAAGCCATCAGGGCAAACCCTCAAGGCTGCCTCAGTATTTCTTCCACTGCCCTTTTGAACTTAACATTGCCTGTTACTACTGACTTACACAGTCTGTTAGCCTTCCAGTGCTGAAACCCCAGATACTGCAGCTGACTTCCAGCACAGACAGTCTCAAGTTAAGAAACTGGGAGAAAGACTTTAAAACTCTTCATTTTCTTTGGCAAAGAGGGGCATATCTACAAAAGGCATCTAAACACTGGAAGTGATGAGACAAACATACAGAATTACTCTCAAAATTAAACCTGATCAAATCCTGTGTTTCTCATTCAAACAAAACACCTATTGAAAAATCCATGAGATTGCTTTTTGACTAAGAACCTTAGGATTTAAGTGATTTTAATTTAGAGGCTTTTATACATTAATCTAGTTCATATGCTGTGTCTAAATTTGTCCATCTACAACATTATACAAAGGTATCCCAATTTGCTGTCAAGGAAAATGTAGTAAACCTCATTTTTTCCACACAAGAACTTCTCAGCCCTTGTAAGAGGTGAAATTTGATTTTTTTTTTTAATCCACATCAATTTAACAATGTTTATAAACATGAAAGCTAATAAGAACAGTAATGTCTTGCACAGAGTTGGAAATGCACTTTCTGTCAGAGGGTCCTGGGCTGTTTCACTGGCTGTGGAAGAATCCCTTTGCCCATGACAGCCAGACTGATTTTCTGCCATGCTGGCCACAGGGTGAGTTTTGCACTGACTTCACAAAGTACACAGTCAAGCTGGCAGGCAGAAAACAAAGCAGGCTTTTTGGCTGTGCACAAAACAACCACACAACAACAGGGTGTAGGAGTAACAAAGAGTGGGGCAACTGATGAACTCTATTGGGATTTGAAATAGGAAGGCTACTGTTACTGTTACAGGTATTTTATGTCCAATCTGATAAAAATGATGAAATTATCTTCAACAAACTTATGTCAACAGAATTTCAGATCCCATTTCTTTAAAATGAATGCCATAACAACTGTAACAACATCCCATTGCAGTAGTTTGGGCCTTAGTCCAAAAAAAGCCAACCAAAACAATGCCATTTGTTAGATTAGCAACTCCACACACAGCATCACCCTTGCTGTCCCCTTGGAGGGCACTCACCTATTAACTGAGACATGATCCTACTGAGAACTGTGAAGGGAGAAGCCCAAAGCAGAGTACATACAAATGTCCATGTGGACAGTTTCACACCAACATCTTAAAGAACACCTTTATTTCAAAAAAACCACTGTTATTTCAATGTGATTTTTGCCATACTCTGAATAAAAGTAAAAACTTTGCCCTCAACTTTTCAGAGTTCATAAATGTGGACTGATTTTTAGATGTCTGAGAACTCTGATCTGGGAAGACAACTTTTCATTATGACAATGTATTTCTTCCTCTTTATCATAAAAGAAGCATCTAAATACAGAAAATAAAGTTTTAAAATTCTGTGATTTAAGAGCTTCCACAGTCTCTTAGGGCTACTTCCATCATTCTTATCTGTTTTCCTATCTAACAACTTTTTAGTATATCTGGCTCATGGAAATGTCCTATATTGGCATAAGAAATCTATATTAAAATACAAAACAGAATTGTATAAAGTACTAATGCACATCCTGAGAAGCACTGTTTAGAAAGGGTATTTTGGTTTCCTTTGGCAAAAGGAAAGATACTAAACAGTTTATCTGTATGCTGTAATTAAACAGGGGGAAAAAAGAAACGGAAAAAAAGGAAACAAGAAGTGGAGCACATGTTAAATTTGCATTCGCATCAAAAAGTCCCTTTTGGCTTTAAAGTAAATAAAACCAAAAATATATGTTGCAAGGAATAAGAACACTCAGGCACAAAAAAGACAAGTTTAAAACATGCAGCAGGGTTGTGGGACAGCTACCAGCAGGTATTGTATGTTCTTTTTCTGACACAACCAAATAATAAAACCATCAGCAAAATATAAGCATTTTATAATTAGCTTGCTAGAGATTTATATAGAAGGGGACTTAGATGATCATGAATGATTCCTACTGACTTGTGGTAAGACAGTCTACCATTGCTTCAAACAAGAATCTGGACCCAGAATTGTTGACAGATGATTATAATACTCACATTTATTCTACTATAACTAAACAAGCCCCAGGTTTGAACTCCCCCATAACTAAATACATCACTGTGTTTAACATGGAAGACAGCTGGACATCAGCTCTCCTATTTCAAATACCAGACCAAGCAACAGGACAGTGATCCAACCCCCAGCTGTTGGACAACAAATACACTTGATCATGACTGCAATCAAACTCTACACTGGCTGAAGAACAGATTAGGTAACAGAAATTGCAGTACCTTAGGAACTTGGTGAGCTGGAGAAACCATGGCTGGCCAAACTACGCTATAAGCAGCATTTCTTTGTCCCTGAAAGAAGAAGCATCTTTGCTGATGATTGCTTGAGTGCCTGTGCAGGTAGTTATGATTGCACAAAGAAAAGATTATGTGGCAGCCAGTCACAGAACCTGTTAACAGATAAATTAAAAAATATTAACATTTTTACAAAATGGAAAGTATGCAAAAAGAAGGGCATAATGTAAAACAGAGCACAGAAGTCATGTAGTTGCCGAGGGTAATTCAAATCTTGTACCATTTAAGAGAGAGTAGAAAGAACAAGTAGAAATGGAGAAAAAAAAACCTTTCCCAAACAATACTTTGAAGCTTAATAAAATATCAAATCTGTTTTGGCTTGATGCATTAAAAAGCAGTGTGGGTAAATTCCCCACAGTTCACAGACAGGAGTGATGCTCTAACTGGCCTCTGCTTGGAGCAATTTGCAGGGCTGCACAGTCCAAGGCTTGGCAAAGCAGTTGATAAGACACAACAGCAGGAAAAGAGAAGACAAAAAAGGAAGATTTAATGTTACTTCATACAATATTTTCAGCTGTATTCTTGCAGAATTGGTCACAGATTTGAGCATAACAAAGATAATGTTGCTCTTTGTCTTGTTGCTCAAGACACAAAGAATAGTTCATTTGGTCGGGGGGCAACAGAAGAAACTTCAGGAGATATTTTTATCTTGGCCAGAAGTAATTGAAGGGATTAAAAGTGTAATTTATTTGGAGTATTTGAATCAGATTTCCATTTAATTCATATGGGCATTTGGAAAGTTTCATAGCTCAAACTTAGTTGTTGGGCAATGACAAATTTTGCCCCCAGAAAAAAAAAAAAAAGGAAAAAAGAAAAAAGAAAAAAAGGGAAAAGGGAAAAGAAAGGGCAATTGAGGCCCAAAGGCTCTCAGAGACATCAAAACCAAAATAACGCACCACAAAAGACAATGCTAGCATCAAAACCAGGAGATTCAAAAGGATTATTGACACTGCCCAATTACATTACAATTACACACAGTGTATATTTCCACTACTCAAATGTTCTACAATATAAACAGGGTTTTTCTCCTGAAACACAAGTTTACCATAACAGTTGATCTGCTTCTGAAAAATGTCATTATGTATACAAATACAAGAGCAATCTTGTGGCAAGTAATCCAGATGAACAATTGTTCTTCAGCAAAAAGTTTTTGTTTAAACAGAAGCAACTAAACATTTTTATATCACAGAAATTAAGAAATTAATCTACTGCATATTTTGTAACTATGTAAAAATGTTTATTTTCAGAAGACTTTGTTTCACATCTTGCATGTTTTTTATTCTATTGTACTTCCTTCCTTTCCTTTGGATGCATTTATCATGTTCAGATGCAGAAAGTATCCTTCCACATGTGCAATCTTTCAAAGAGAGCCCTTTTACTCCATGACATACAGAAGATTTGAGTCATGCTCAGTTTTGGAGCCCCAAACCCAGACTGAAAGAGTCTCATCGGGTTTGCATTAGAAATGTTTCCGACTGTCTCTTTGCACTGATCAGGGTCACATTTAGGTACCAAAGTCTGAAAAGTTAAAACCTAGATGTAGAAACTTTTACTCAAGCCAATTTTTACTGGGTTGTTTTTGTTTGTTTGTTTGGTTTGTTGTTGGGGTTTTTTTGGTGGTGGTGGTGGGTTTTTTGTTTGTATTGTTTGGGTTTTTAGCTTGGTGGGTTGGTTTGTTTGTTTGATTTGTTGACAAATAACAAAGTGAAGCTGAAGGGTGAGGTTCACCTCAAGCTCTCAGTATAGCCTAAATACCCAATGGAAGCTGCCTGCTTCAAAAGAGAAGAAAGTGTCTCCAAGGAAGTGGAGCTGCTCAGTTAACAGAGGGCTGGATTGATGTGGCAGCCTATTAACTGTAACTAGGATTTAAACAGCAGACTCATAATCTGCTTTCCTAGAGTCGCCTTCACAGGAAAAAAAATATCATTGTCCAATTAACAAAAATCACCCAAATATACAAAAAAAACCCAGAAAGGGCCACCTAAACTGCAACTGTAAGCATGTCCTAAAAGCCCAAAGCATCCTACAAACTCCCTGTCTGGTTTGTACTCATTTCTGGAATTTGGAAGCACAGAATCTGCTGAGGCAGCAACTTTTGGGCCATCAGAAAGAGCAATCACTCTGACAGTGTAAGCCAAGGTGCCTCTTTTACAAAGTGCAGTACCTTGCTTTCAATATATTTCAATATATTTGAAGTACCTTGTTTTTAGCATAGCTAAAGGCACTACAAATATATTGAAATCCCACACTCACTGATGTGGTTAGCTAAAGTCCACATGGACATCAATATGTGAACATATATTTTAAATGCTCTCCTTGATGCCCAGAATGCTCCCCGGACACCTTGTAGATTGTATCACAATTTAACTGGGGAAGAAAAGGTGCAAGTGTGCTTGTCAATTATTCCCAATAAGCTCCCCCAAATACACACCCTTAAATACGTTAAACATATTCATGGGTGCATGTCTATCAACTAGCTCACATTCAGAAGGGATACCTTTTTATTCTGAATAAAATTTTTACCTCTATTGTCCCAAAGATACACTGCAAGTGTTGTCACAAAATAACAGGATAATAAGGTACTGTAGCCTGTTGTTATTCTACTAACTACTCATTATAAACCAGATGCATATAAAACTATCTACTGCTTGAACAGATGAAATGAGACAAGCAAATAAGTATCACCATTCTAAAATACAATTCCTAAATTGTATTACAAGAATTATAAACACAGGGCAACTAAACCTTTATTTGAAATATAAAAGATTATAAGAGAAAACATTCTCCTACAAAGTAAAAATAAAATTAAATAAAATGGCATTAAAATACAATGAAGTTACTGGTCTATAATGAAAATCTGGACTCCATCCACACACTTCCTTCCTTAAGAAGGCCTTCTAATGCCTCCACAGTGCCTTTTATTTTTCAAGCTCCGTATTCCCAGCTAATTTGATATAGCAACATCATCAATCACCTGAGACAGGAACAACTGTCTGTATTCTCCAAGTCTGGCTCAGAAATTCCCTCCTCCCCACCCCTTACACCCATCAAAGCTTTTCTCAGTGCCTTTATTTACTTCTGCAACACTGGTGCTCAAGCACATCCTTTTGTTAAGCTTTCTGTGTATACTAATTACTGTAAGACAGTTCATACACATGGCATTTATGCATCTTCCAGCAGAAGCAGCCACAGCAGAGCATGGTGTGTGAAGCTGGGTAGGCTGATAACAGACCAGCACAGCCAGGACACAAAGTTGACCCTTTAGGTGTTTATTTGTTTATCCTGTACCCCAAGAGCAAGGCCAGGTCACCTGGCAGGAGCAATAGAATACTGACTACGATCTGCACTAAGAGAATGATCAGCAGCATTCCTGAATGCCATGAGCAGCTGGGATGCACAGGAGCACAGACAATCCCTGCCAACGGCTCCGTCAGTGAACCCCTCTGTGCGATCCGTGTGCTCGCCCGAGCCGCTGCATTCCTCAGCACACCTTCCACACCTGCCTCTGCATCAACAGTGTCAATATGCACTGTGAGCTCTACTGAATTACCAGATGAATTTATCTTGTGTGGAAATTTCTTTTCCTTTTAAATGAGTCAGTCAGAGCAGCTGAATATGGCATTCTAGAATTATGATGGGTGGGAGCATTTTTAAGTGACTGATTTTGCAGCACAGTGTGCCCTATATTTATTAGCCTTTTACTCTAGGGCTATTTTAATTGTTATCTGTTCATGCATGTTACACTATATAATGAAATGCTCTCATTTCACTCCTAGAGTGGAGAGTTTTTTATGTGTATCTCTATTAATGACCCTTAATTAAGTTGATTTTAGTAATTTAAATGTGATTTTCCTCTGGTCAAGAAGTATTTTTAACGGGAGATGTTGAGAATGAACTCTCACATAAGCCCTTTTCTAATGCTTCCTGTTTAACAGTTACAGCAATTTATCAAGCTATGTTTCCAATGAATGAAGTGTGGGGTAGCTGGGCAAAAATCTGCTCATTTATATGAGCCATCAAATGTGATTGTTAGCCACCTTTTTTTGGTATTTATTAATGAAAGATTTCAATTTTCCAAGCAATTAACAAAAATATTACCAATGGATAAACTTCATGACAGTTCTGAGCTACAATAAATACAAGGGTGCCTCTTAAAAAAGACAATAAATAAATTAACATATTTTTAAATAATTTAGTCACAGTATCAACAGAAGCAGAGTACCAAAATGATTTAAGATTAAAAGAATTAACATTCAAAACTATTTAGGAAATAAAATCAACTTGCTCTTGATAAAGTTAACAACATCAAAAGCATTGTTCTGACAACTCTTCTCAAATTATGTGATTTAATCTTTCTTTTTAAACTGAAAAAAAAGAATGACTGTAGAGATTTTCTTAATATATATTCATTTGGAGGTAAAACACTAGAGATCTTTAATTTGGCTTGTCAGGTAATTTTAATACTCTGGCATAATTTAGGTTCTTCTTTAGCTTCTTCAAATACTCATTTTGCTGAAACTTCTAAGGATTAAAGCTTAAAATGAGGTATTAAAAATCACTAAGGAGAACAATATGTGGAATCCAGCCAAGGCAACTAGGTAAGAATACATAGCTTCTTACTGCTAATTACTAAATGTTCCCATTTTTCAATCCAAAATAATGGCTGTGGTTTGAAAGACCTTTACTTGTAATTGTAACTCTAACTGTCTAATAAAACACTGACTTTGTAACCCCCCGTTGCAAAGGTATGTCCAAGCTTCAAAAATAGGATGGGAAAGATTAAAGGTCCTTTCCAGCCCTGTGTAACCTGTGTAGCAGAAGACCAGCTCACATTTCACATGCAATAACCTGCGCATTTGCTAAAAAAAAAAGAAAATGAAAGAAAAAAAGGAAAAAACCTCCAAGAACAACATAGGGAAATGCCTGAGGCAGAAGTTGAAACTGATTGGGCAAAGTAGAAGGACAAGAGCCCTTGAAATTAAACAAAAGCAAATTCATTCTGTTGACAGATGTTGATTACATCAAAGCCATGAAAGAACTTTTTTTTTTGTTTCTCTTTTTTTTTTCCCTTTTTTGCAACTAATACCTCCACATTTCTGTACATTATGGATATAACGTATCTTAATCAACATAATCCAACACATGATAATTCTCAAATTTGGTAAAATTATATTATAAGAAAGTCTTAATGACAGGCTTCTCCAAACAAGAGTGTATTCACATGGTCATGTCTGCATACCCGTGCTGGTCACGCCATCATCAGCCCCTTACTTCCAGGGGTTAACTGCTCTGGCAGCCAAATAAAATACAGAGAGCGCTGTGTAATTATGGAGACAGTCAAAGGGCAGACTCTATTTTGAAATCTATTTGCACAGACAAGGTCTTCCAATTTCGCTTACAGGAAACAAGCTGGTAAAGGGGGTCTCCTCCTCTCCAGATGCTTTCCACACGTTTTTCCCACATCAGGAAATCGTGGACATGGACACCATGCAGGACTGTTTCCTGGATTGCAGAACTATGTCATTACAAGGAGAAGAGCAAGTCCCTGCTTGTGAGAAATATTTCCTCCTAATTGGATGTATTAGGGGAAAGCAAAACCCATCAGGACTACTGAAAATGTGACTAGCAGCAATTTGTAAACAGGACGCAGCCACAGCTGTCACGATGGTACTGGAAAAGAGAAAGCAGAAATGAAAGGGTAAAAACACTCTGTTTTTAACAGCATGATTGGAGAAATGAAATATTCATCAGGATAGATGTGACTTCAGTTACAACAGCAACACACTGGTGAAAACTTCAACAACAGAATGCTTATGACCCTACCTGATAAACCGAAACACAGGCCAGTATCTTGCAAACATTATATTCTAATTGGTATGGTTTTATTTAATTTTTCTGGAAATTAACAACAGAATTTGTTTAGTTAATAGAGGCATTAACAGAACTGTTCTTGTTACTCTCCTAAGAGGCAACGAAGCCCAGCAATGGTCGAACAGCGACTGACTCCGGGGGAGAAGAGTCAGCTCCTGTACCAGCATCACTGTGACTCCCCCGTGTCACTGAAAAAGTCTGCTTTGGCCCTCAGTTATGCTCCTTGCTAATTACAATTCTGCCCTTACTTCATGCAGAGTGGAACCAGGCAATTTGTTGGCTACATGCCAATATAAATGAGTTTGTAAGCTTATAAAATATATGGAAACCGATTTTGTTTTGCTTTACTTACTATGATTTAGTCTAGACTAACAGACTAAAATGGTGAATCAGTGCCTTTTGGAATAGTGCTGTGCTTCTAATTCATTATTCAGTCAAACATAGGGCCAACAAAATAGCTGTTCTGCAAGTTGGTAAACTGGGAAACCACAGAGACTCAGAACCCCTTCTATTTACAGGAAGGATGACAGCCTAAGGGTACTTCATCCCAATAATAACAACATTCAAGTACCGGTGCCCAGGTCATGACAAGCCATGACCCTCCCCATAGCTCCTTCAGGAAGCTGGCTTGATGCCACCTTTTATCAGCAGCAACTGACAGTGCAACTTCAACAAACAGGAAGAAAAAATAAGTATTATATCCTTAAAATCTCCTCTGACCAGTTGAGCAGTTCTGTAACTGTATACTGTGTATGTATACACACAAACACACAGAGACACACCAAGGTAGTGTAAAAAATAAATTAACTGACTGAGTAAAATTCTGGTATCATTAAACAGTACTTCTCCCTTTTATTTTAGGACTTAAAAAATACAGAGTACAATCTAACTATAGCTGAGTGATATTCATTACTATAGCAAAGGAAATGAATTGTTTGTTACAGAACAGGGGATCAAGCTGTACAGACACAGGGAACAGAGCATCGCAGTCCTCCAGCACAGCCTTCCTTCCCACTGTTATTTCTACTACATCTTCCCTCTCTGACAGAAAAACGCAAGAAGAAAATAAAAAGACAGTGTTGTCTAAAGCAATATCACTGCAAAATGAGATAAGTCCAGTACAAAAGCTGCACAAAGCAATATTAAGGGTTTCAATCACAGTTACTATCAAGGGAATTTAGGCTCCAGATCACAGCATCTGGCAAGTTTCAACTTCTCTGACTAGCAGGAGAAACATTCCTCTTATGTTACTGCATTCCTTTATTGAGTAAATTAATTTATCATAAAATGAATAAATTAGAATGAGAAACATATCTGTTCAGGCTTCCATATTTAAATACATTTTACAAGCACTTTCTATTTATCTTTAGATTTTTTAAAAGATCAGAGAAATTACTTTTGCTTGAAAGACTAATTATTGTCTTCATGATTTTGATTTTGTAGGGAAGAAACAACTATTGGAACAAGTTAGTTTTAAAAATAGCACTTGTTTCAGATTAAAAAAATATGCTATTCCTTATATACATCACAATACCAAATCTAATTGTTTATATCCACCCACCCACAGCTCTAACATTCTATGAATCCTACTGGGTTAAAATCTTTTCAGGAGCTCTGTGAAACAACTGTTTTCCAACTGGCATGGTTATATCCTATACACATGCCTGACACAATATTAAATGTGAAAAATAAATCCTACTTTAACCTCTAAAATTTCCACCAGGAATGGAAAAAATATGTCTGGATCACCATAAAATCCTTAAAAGGTTTTCCACCCTTTCAGTAGGCAAGCAACATTGCTGAAGTAAGAGTAATCTTTGCATAGGAAATTTAGGAATGCTCCTGTACATTGTATCAGCACATTCTGTGTAGCTTGACGCATGGGAAGAGAACAGGCAGTCAGTCCTTTTCCTGCAGTAAGTATTTTCCATGCATCTACAGCCAAATCTCTAAGGACACAAGATGATTTCTGAATCAAAATTAAGAAAAAAAGTCTTATCTCAAAACTAAGGAAAAAAGTGCACATGGCCAACAACTTTGGGATGAATACCTTAATAAAATAAGATTACATTACTACTCATTTGGTAAAATTGACAACTAGTAGTATTTCTTGCCTTGTGTTAAAAGTTGTTAATTACATGTATTGTCCTGTTTTCCCCTGAAAACACAAGTTCTGTTAGGACAGTAAGTGTTTACTGAGAAAACAAGTGTGCATCCTTTGCTAGAGTGATGAGTCTAAGGCTGGGGCATTACATCCCATAATCCAGATTTCAAAATACAGGAGCACAGAGGTCTGAGAGCTTACAGCTTTTTCTGCTAAACTGCTGTGGCGGTGGTAGAAATAAGCTCTTATTTTTATTTCAAGAAAATGCTCTGCACAAGAAGATGTCTAATCAAGAGCTTGCTGCAGATAACTTGTAGCATCCTGATTAAAACATTTATTTTTAAACCCGTCAGTCATTACCATGTGCTATTTATGCGTAACTTGGAAGCTTATTCATAAATATGTGACATTTGGGTCACTGAGTGAATTATAATGATAGAATTATGGATCAAATTTGGAAGAGTAGAGTATAATGTTTGGGAGATGTTTTAAATGTTTTTAAACACCTTTCACTTATCTCCTTGCTTAACATTTACAAAGACCTCTTTTTAGCATAAAAATCTGTTTCTCAAACAGTGATACAGGAAGAAGTTGTTTACATTTTCAGAAGTACCAACATACATCACTTATGACAAAAAAACCAAGCACTCCATAAGAAATGCTCAATCACTGTCAATCATACACACTAAAATATACATAAACCAAAGCATGTGGTATGAACTGTATTAGATTCAAACTGAACAGAGAATTACAACTATAACAAACAAAACCCAAATAATTACTAGTGACTCACAGGCCTATTTACACATCTCACCAAACTATTGGAAAGGTAGGTAACCATAGAAACCTGTCAGCCTAAATTCAGCACTTTAAAATTTGTATTTAGTTTAAAATGCTGACAATTCTGTTTCTATTTGACAAAATTCATATTTTTAAAGGCTTCAGTTTTTGCTTTGGTGCTTAAATAAATGCCTAAAATTATTTCATTTACTGGTTACTAATAATTTGCCTTTTATATTTGATTTTACCTGAGCAAAAATTGCAGTTTACTCTCAGTAATACAAAATATTAATATATTTTAATATCGCAAAATAATTTCTAACATTTCTTTAATGACTGAAATTAAATAACAATATAAAACAAACACTTCTGCACTTACTATGAAATGCTTTGCTCATGGACTTTTTTAAGCTGCACACCAGCAGAAAAAAGAAATTACTGAAATTAACTGTTAAAACTGAAATGCTAATAGCCTTTTCAACTTATACTTCTTTTTCACTGACAATTGCAATTTGCATGGCTTAAAATTTAATACTATCATTAGTACTAATGTCCTATATTTTACTTCATAATCTAAATGAGTAAAATATTATTTTTGTAGTTCACCGGCTCTTATACTTAGGCTGTAACGTTCAGTGTGTATTTCATTATGTAGATGAGCAATGGAAGTTGTCTAACATGATTTAAATGGGTCAACAGTATTTTCCTATTCACATTAATCATCCAGACAGCCACACACAAAAAAAATAGCCTTGAAAACTAACCTAGGAAATCCCTTTTTATCAGAGACTCTTCCCACCACTCCAGCAGCAGCAAGCAATGCTCCGGCAGAAGGGAGCCCCGGGCAGGGGCGGCCAGGGCCGGGCCCCGCTCCCCTGGGCGCGCTCGGCTCCCGGCGCTGCCCGCGCTGCCCGCGGCCCCGTGCCAAGAATGATTCTCGTCCCGCCACGTTCAATGGGAGCTGTGTGTTGACAAACTGAGCAAATCTGAATCGGCAAAATTCATTCTTGGCACGGGGACGCACAACTGTGCTGAAAGCAAAGGCGCGCTGCCCGCTCCCTGCACTGGCAGCCGGCTCCTCCTGGCGTAAACACACTTGTCAGGGCTCCCGCTGGAGTCAAAGGACACAGGATGAGGCCCTTTATTGCCAATTGTTTATAAAACACACCAAAATTAAGGGTTCTATTCTCAAGCCATGTAACCACCATCTACGGCCCACTTCATATATGGCATATGGCAAATTAAATGGCAATTTATAATTAACATGGCCCTTCTGTAGAAAGGGAAGCTGTTCTAATAGACGATAAAGGGGAAGAACATAAGTATAAAACAGGCAGAAAGTAAGAGTAATTGTGTACTAAACATTCAGACTAATTTATTAAAAAAAAAAACAAACCCCAAACCAACAAACAAACAAAACCCCAAAACAAACAAAAAGAAAACCAAAACCCTCATTTCTGAGCTATCTTCACCAGAGGTTATTCCCTCACTTAGTATGTTCATTGGACTATTCTACTGACTGATTTTCTAAGCTAGACAGAGTAAGCAAGGAGTCTTTGCAAGAATTTAGGTCTCAAACTCCTTTTTCTAGACTGAAAAGGGTTTACACAGTCTTTTCTGCACAGACAGTAAATCCATAATAAGTGTTTTGCTCTCCACAAGATGAAGATAATCTAGCTTGCCAGCAAAATATGACAGGCAATTCTCCTGAGCATGTTTAGCTACCTTGTGTGCAAATCTGGGCAGTAATCTAAGAAATTCTCTATAGGGACATCCACTTAATCAATTACTAATCTGTAAACTCAACTCAGAACTTCTGGATTCAGTGAATTACATGCTAAAAATCCTGCTGCATACTTTTTTCACATGGAAAATGTGAAGCCTATC